TAGCCGGGGGTTGATCCGGCGGAAACCCCTCCGCCAATCCCTGGGGAGAACAAGATAGTTGGTAATTATGGAGAGAATTCGAATAGAATAATCGAGGGAATAATAACATACCTTTATTAAATGAATTTAGGTTGTATTTATACTTTATTGATTGGGCCGAGATCAATTTATCAGGCCCAACTTTATTTGGGTGTGATTGGGCCTTCGTATAAATAGCTATTAAGTTGGGCCTGTGGGCCAGTAAATATGGGTCTATTGGGCTGCGCCAATAGGCATATCATTAAGCCCCCCACTCTCGAGTCGATTTGGGAGGGTGAAGTGCCGGATCGTGCCGAGAGTAGAATTGTATTTCGTTCTTCGTGTTTGTGTCGTCGACGGAGGGAGAATAATAATAATTTATTATTATTATTGTGCGTGCCGGAGTCGTGAGCGGATTTATATTTAAAGTGCATAAATATAAAAATTTGCTTAGTAGTAGGTAAGTCCTTGTGAAATCAGTAGAGGAGAGTATCAAGAACCACGCCGAATAAATATGGGTGAGTAAATTTTTTTTTTTTTTATATCTCTCTATTTTATTTTGCTCCATATACTCCGGTGTAGAAAAGAGAATATTCTCTGGCGGAGAAGATCCTCAGATAAAATAATTTATATGTCCCAAGTGGGGAAGGCGAAACAGTTGAAAATTATCCTGCGAAAGTCGATTGTAGAGACCGAGATGACTTTTGGCACCGTATGGAAGGTAATTGGGTCGAGTTCCGGTAAAAAAGTTGTACCGGAAGAAGACATCGCGTGTTCCGATTGCACGCGATTGGGGATATCCGGAGAAATTTCTGTGGAACCAGTAGACGTAGCCGCGCGGCTCGAGGATGTGAGAGGAGCCGCGCGGCTCGGCTCCGCGCGAAGTGGAGCCGCGCAATCCGTGTGTGGGGTTGAAGCTGGGAGAGCAAAGTAGGTCACGTGCTCACGAGCTAGATAGTCCTGAGAACTTTAATTTACTCTAGGATCCTGCGAACAGAAAACACGTAAACTAAGCCGGGGGTTGATCCGGCGGAAACCCCTCCGACGCTCACGCGCTTAACACAAGATAGTTGGTAATTATGGAGAGAATTCGAGTAGAATAATCGAGGGAATAATAACGTACCTTTATTAAATGAATTTAGGTTGTATTTATACTTTATTGA